CAGCAAATGTATTTCACTGACTTACCAAGGCCTGATAAACTGTTGCAACATGGGAGACACTTCTTGGGGACACACACAACCAAGACGTCCGATGGTAATTGCTACATTATTTACAGGATTACCCAGAAGAAAAAAATTAAATTAAAAAAGGAGGCACAAAACAATAAAATTAAAATAAATAAATAAAAGCCAATAATAGATAAATGCAATACTACTTTGGCTAACCTGTGTTTTCAAGAAGTGTTTTAGGGGTGTTGGGCCGGTTAATAATTTCGACAAGGTTATTCAAAACCATAGGGACATACGGCTGCATCTCTGCTCCTGTTTGGATGAAAACCAAGAGTCACCATAATTAGAATGAACATGTTACTGATGCAATAGAAATAAGATATGCTTGTACTCAAAACCCAAATATATATATATATATATATATATATATATATATATATATAATATATATATCCCATCAGATGCTAAAGGTGTGTGACAACATGTTATCAAAAATTCTGAATGAACCAGTTGCACCCTTTCTAGCAAACGTTGCACAAAGAGGATTTTTTATTCAAATACATGTTTAAGCTGGCCAACTGCATCAAATTACTTCTTCTCTGGCCAGTTCTTACACTGCAAAATGCTCCAGTGGATATAGTACCAATATGGGGCAAAGTGACAAGTTGTAGGAGAACTACAGGTTCAGGTTTGGTCACTGACCATGCGCTGCAATAGAATTACCTGTGTTCAAATCCCAATAGCCTATACGCACAATATAGATAGATATACAGTTAGGTCCGTATATATTTGGAAACAGGCACAATTTTAGATTTTTTTCAGGTATTTACCAAAACATACTCAGGCTATAGTTCTATAATGGATATGGGCTGAAAGTGCACATTCTCAGGTTTAATTTGAGGGTATGCACATCCAAATTGGAGGAAGGGTTTAGGAATTACAGCTCTTAAGAGTAGCCATACCCCTTTTTCAAGGGACCAAATGTAATTGGACAATTGAATCAAAAGCGGGTTTCATGGCCAGGTGTGGGCTACTCTTTCGTTATTTCTTCATCAGTTAAGCAGGTAAAGATCTGGAGTTGATTCTAAGGGTGGCATTTGCATTTGGAATCTATTGCTGTGAACCTACATCATGCGTTCAAAGGAGCTGTCCATGCAAGTGAAACAGGCCATTGTAAGGCTTCAAAAACTAAACAAACCCATCAGAGAGATAGCAGCAACATTAGGAGTGGCCAGATCAACAGTTTGGTACATTCTGAGGAAAGAAGAACGCACTGGTGAGCTCAGGAACAAAAAAAAGACATGGACGTCCACGGAAGACAACAGTGGTGGATGATCGCAAGATCCTCTCTATGGCAAAGAAAAACCCATTTACAACATCCAGACAAGTGAAGGACACTCTCCAGGAGGTGGGTGTATCATTGTCAAAGTCTACAATCAAGAGAAGACTTCACGAGAGCAAATACAGAGGGTTCACCACAAGGTGCAAACCATTCATAAGCCTGAAGAATAGAAAAGCCAGACTAGCTTTTGCCAAAAAACATCTAAAAAAGTCAGACCAGCATTCTTTGGATGGATGAAACGAAGATTAATCTATACCAGAATGATAGGAAGGAAAAAAAAAAAAAAAGTGTGGAGAAGGCTTGGAACAGCTCATGATCCAAAGCACACAAGTCATCTGTAAAACATGGTGGAGGCAGTGTGATGGCATGGGCATGCATGGCTTCCAGTGGCACTGGGTCATTAGTGTTTATTGATGATGTGACAGAAGACAGAAGCAGCCGGATGAATTCTGCAGTTTAAAGATTTACTGTCAGCCCAGATTCAGCCAAATGCAGCAAAGCTGATTGGACGGCGCTTCACAGTACAGATGGACAATGATCCAAAACACATTGCAAAAGCAACCCAGGAACTTTTGAAAGAAAAGAAGTGGCATATTCTGCAATGGCCGAGTCAATCACCTGATCTCAACCCAATTGAGCATTTATTTTACTTGCTGAAGGCAAAACTAAAGGCAGAAAGACCCACAAAGAACTGAAGACAGCTGCAGTTAGAGCCTGGCAAAGCATCAGAAAGGAGGAAACCCAGTCTTTGGTAATGTCCATGGGTTCCAGACTTCAGGCAGTCATTGCCAGTAAAGGATTCTCAACAAAATATTAAAAATTAACATTTTATTTATGCTTATATTCATTTGTCCAATTACAATTGAGCCCCTGAAAATGGAGGGACTGTGTATAAAAATGGCTGCAGTTCTTAAAATTTGTACTTGATATTTATGTTCAACCCCTTGAATTAAAGCTGAAAGTTTTCACTTCAAATTAATTTGGATTGTTTCGTTTTAATTAATTCTGGTGGCATACAGAGCCAAAAGTATGAAAATTGTGCCTGTGTCCAAATATATAGAATGGACCTAACTGTATAGAGAGAGAGAGAGAGAGAGAGAGAGAGAGAGAGAGAGAGAGAGAGAGAGAGAGAGAGAGAGAGAGAGATTGATTTTATAGATAGAGAGAAATATAGATAGATATATCTCCCATCAGGTGCTAAAGGGGTGTGACCTCATTAACGCCAAACATTCTGAATGAACCCTCAGCTTAAGCATGTACCGTACATGAAAAGAAAACAATCCTCATTTTTGTGCAACGTTTGCTAGAAAGGCTGTGTAGTAGTGTATAGATATGCTGGATTTGAAGACTCCTCCCTGAGAAGGTAGTCCCGGTTCAACCCATAATGGAGATACCATAGGTTCTCAACAACCCCTGAATCAGAGTCGAGGCTCACACATCTGTCCCAAACTGCAGCAAATCGCTGTGTGTGGCTACATGTGATTAGCAGTGGCTGCTGTCAGCCCGCCATTAGTTTAAATGGGCCGAGTGGCCGCTGCAGATCGTATAACCCAGTCGTTGTAGCCGCAAGAATCTGCAGATCCTTGCCATAGGAATACAGCAGCTGCAACAAACCAGTCATGTGAAAGGCCTTAAAACTACACTACAAGCAAGTGCTAGAAACACAAATGAAATACACATAAGAAAAGGGAGCTATTTATCTTGCCTATGGTTTTGAATTTCTGTCTATGAATGTCTGATTTACATTGCTCAGCCCTGTCTGGCAGGGAAGGAGAGAAGATTTTTCTCTGCTGCAGTTCATCAACACCTATAGGTCTGGACTCCCCCCCCCCCCCCCCCCCCCCCCGGACAGAAAAAGGAGAAGCGGCACCCTGATCACGGATGGGTTAGTCTGGAATGCCATCAGCAGATTGGCTCCTTGAGTTCTTTCTCCTTCTCCCAGTCTGAACTCTGCTGTAAAGAGCATGCAAAAGGCTGATACCAATTCAAGTTCAGGTACCTACCTTGCTTGCATTTAAAAATTACTTTTAAAAAAAAAATGACATATTTAGGAACACAGACCTTCGTGTATTTGTGTATTTTACATCTGACCAGAGTTGGGCTTTAAACTAAAACTGAAGGCAAAATGTGTAGAAATACTCATTTTATAGCTGCTGGAATTAAAGTAACCAGGTGTGGAGAAGGCAATAACATTTAGTTTTAAAAGAGGTATACAAATCCTTTAAAATCCAGTAAATGGTAAAAATAGGAAGGAAAACAATGATGCTTACCCATCTGCATGCAGATCTCCCCAATGGCCCAGGTGGCATTGTTACAGACGGAAATAAACTCTGGATTTAGGTTGGTACCAAGAATAGGCATGAACTCCGCTGTTAAACAAGGTCAGTAAGAATCCATTAGTTATGCACAAGTATCAAAAAGGTGGTAACCAGCCACAGTTTCACTTTTGATAAAATTAGAGGATTCCTTTCTGAATTTGCCAGAACTTCGAAGGTAACTCACAACGTAACCCTTTATTTCATCATATCTTAGATTTAGAATGTCATTTAAAAGTATTTGTAAACCCTTACATATACCCAGTGAAGTGACTGCCCTCAGGTGATAGAGAGATTAAACAAAATTCTCCCACATAAGTTGTACCTGTTTATCTGCAGCCATCTCTTCTTTACAGATGTTAAAAGTAGAGAATATATACACCTTGTCTGAGCTTTCAGAAAGCAGGGGGTGGGGAGCTGAAATTACACTCTGAAAGGCTCAGTGAGAGCTGACTGGAGGGAAGGGAAACACCCCCCTTCACACAGCAAACAGAAACAGAGCGGAGGCTGTCAGTCACCGGCTGTGTGTTGGAGCTCCCTCCGCATAACCTTTTTACCTCTTGGTGTCGGGAAAACTTGTCAGAAGTGACTCAAGCAGATAGAGGAAGGAGGCAGCAGACAAATTATACTTGCTGTGCTCCGGATTGAGACACACTATAGAGGGATATGTTATGTTCATATTTCATGGTTTTACAACCACATTAAAAAAGGCACACAGGAGCTGCCAAATGTCTGTGTACATGAGGCTTTATATGCAGACTTTTTGAATTCCAACAATTTATTGGGCAATAGGGATGCCTTCGGAAAACAGTAGATAAAGGGACTTAACCACTTCCATACCGGGCACTTTTACTCCCTTCCTGCCCAGACCAATTTTCAGGTTTCGGCGCTCTCACACGTTGAATGACAATTGCGCGGTCATGCAACATTGTACCCAAACTAAAATTTTATCATTTTCTTCACACAACTAGAGCTTTCTTTTGGTGGTATTTAATCACCGCTGGGGTTATTTTTTGCTAAATTAACAAAAAAAAGACCAAATATTTTGAAAAAAAAAAAAAAACAGATTTTTCTTTGTGTTATAAAAGTTTGCAAATAAATAATTGTTCTCCATATATTTAAGCCAAAATGTATTCTACTACATTTCTTTGGTGAAAATAACCCAAATTAGGATGTATTATTTAGTTTGTAGGAAAGTTATAGAGTTCACAAACTATGGGATATATCTGAATATTGATCAATCCTGAAGTACTGACAGCCAATCTAATTTCTTGAGGTCCAAAAATGTCAGAACAGTACAGATATCCCCCCAAATGTCAGAACAGGACAGATATCCCCCAAATGTCAGGACAGTACAGATATCCCCCAAATGTCAGGACAGTACAGATATCCCCCCAAATGTCAGAACAGGACAGATATCCCCCAAATGTCAGGACAGTACAGATATCCCCCAAATGTCAGAACAGGACAGATATCCCCCAAATGTCAGAACAGGACAGATATCCCCCAAATGTCAGGACAGTACAGATATCCCCCCCAAATGTCAGAACAGGACAGATATCCCCCAAATGTCAGGACAGTACAGATATCCCCCAAATGTCAGAACAGTACAGATATCCCCCAAATGTCAGAACAGTACAGATATCCCCCAAATGTCAGAACAGTACAGATATCCCCCAAATGTCAGAGCAGTACAGCTATCCCCCAAATGTCAGAACAGTACAGATATCCCCCAAATGTCAGAACAGTACAGATATCCCCAAATGTCAGAACAGTACAGATATCCCCTAAATGTCAGGACAGTACAGATATCCCCCCAAATGTCAGGACAGCACAGATATCCCCCAAATGTCAGGACAGGACAGATATCCCCCAAATGACCCCTTTTTGCAAAGTAAACAGTCCGACGTATTTCATAAGAGGCATGGCGAGTTTTTTGACGTTGTAATTTTATCATAATTTTTCGGAAATTAAGAAATCAAAAAAATTATTTTCACAAATTAATTTTTTTTTCAACATACTGTCACCAGTGCAGTACAGTGTCATCTTATTACTTTTTCATATTTCACTATGACCAAAAGTAGTTCGCCCGTCCACCATCTGGCTATCAATAGGCTTTGTAAATAGGTTTCATTAAATACATCTGAAACCTGAAGTGGGATATGTAAAAATTAGCTTCATCTGCTGGTTGTATAGAATGATGCACAATGCAGCATTTTTTATGTTTTACTTTTATTCCTGACCATAAGTAAGAAAATTAAGAAAAAAACCCAAAGCATAGCATTCACCTTGAAAGGATACTTACATATGCAAGGTTTTACATGGAGGAAACAAGCTTTAGTTAGATCACCCAGGAGGGCAAAGGAACTCTGTCGAACTTCTGGCATTATGTCCTGAAAAGGGAAAATAAAACAAATGAAAAGTGAGTGTGTGTGTTTGGTTGTTTTTTTTATATTTTTTTGGAGCAGGGGGAGGGGGGGTTTGGGAATTTTTTCTTCTTTTTGTGCATCAGGGAGGGAAAAACAAAAAACACAAAACCTCTTAAATTCCCTGTAGAATCTTTTTTTTTCTTTTTCATGGGAGTCCATTAAGGAACACAGGAAGCCAAACCTTGGGGTTATACTGCCACATATAGCATGATTGGACACTGCCAGACAAACTTCAGGCCAGCCCAGGGCATGACAAATCCTACCACCAGCAGGTCTCCATTTAGTAACAAATTAGTACCCAAGAGCATGATTATAAACCCAGGAATAGGACCTATGCCCTATTAGAAAAGTAGTAGAAAAAGATTCTACGTTTATAACAATCATCCTGTTTTCGCTCCAGTCCATTGAGGGACAGGAAATCTTGTCATGGTATCAAACATAACTACCTTTAACTTTCAGGAGATCCAAAAGGAAAAGGGCTGAGCGACACGGCAAACAGTTAGGCTAGGTTCACAACTATGCAGTTTGTGTTTGATGCATTCTTGCTGTGCTTTTTGCGGGGGGGTTTTTTCCCCCAAACTTGTTGCTGGGTAGAATAAAACGCATAAAAAATGCACTACATGCTTTTCGGCAGCGTCTCCACTGAAGTCTATAGAACCAAAAATGCAACATTTTGCCTTTAAAAAAAGTCCCTGACCCTTTCCAAAAAATGCACTGGGTGAAAAACGCGGAGATGTGAACCTCTCCCATAGGAAATCATGTTAAATGGACTGCTGTGCTGCTCTGCAAAATGCTTAGGTGTGAACCTAGACTAAAAGGGAGGCCATTTAATCAGTTCACACCCTGCCTGGAAAGAGGGCTATAAGACACTTCAGCAGCCTATAGGCATCACTGTAAGCTGCAGATTCGGCCCTTTCCCTGAAATGGATGGAACCTGAGACTGCCACTTGTGTAAACTAATAAATAAAAGAGATGCAGCGCTAAAATAATCACAATATTATCAATAAATAGATCAATAAAATCAATTAAATATGCCATACAAAGAAGTGATAAAAAGTTCCGGTATATAAATCAATAAATAGGATAAAAGGGACTCTTGTGCTCTGGTAGCTCTGGACCCGGTATCAGTGCAATAGTGGTGAAGGTAATGCGCACTCACCGGATGTGCATGTAAAATGCGCCTTATGTTAAAAATCCAGATGTCATCAGATAGGTAAGGGTCAGGAACTAGAAGATCTTCCCTCTAAGGGATGGTGGGTCGTCAGACAGGATGCTACAAGGTTAATACAGGTGATCCTCGTCCTCTGGGACTCCCCCTTTAAAGCACCTGATATTCCTCCCTGGGCATGCAGATATCCACTAAAAGGTATGATGATCCGTCCTGTACTGGTTACCTTTAGAAACTTAACAAATAGGACTCCATCAAGCAGAGGCCGAACCTAGATTGAAACCACCAAGCCAGACTTAGGATCCCAACATTGTCATTGGTCTCAACCCCAGGGCCAATAGACATCTCCACAGACAACTGTGGTGGATGAATCTTGCTAGCCAGAGGGTTCGTTCACAACAAGAGGAGCATCTGAGTTCACTTGCTTTTTTGCGTGTTCCCACACGTTACATTTTTTTTTTTTTTTTCTAAAGAGCAGCTCTACATGTGTAAAAGATGCAAATGGGCACAGACAGGCTTGATTTTTAAACCTGTGCAACACCAAAACACATAGTACTACAGTACCATGCATTTTAGCAGGCACAAACGTACACACATTTGCTAAATGCATGGGGTGTCATTAAGAATTAACGGCACCCACGCGCGGCTGCAAAGAGGCATCATCTGTGAACAAGCCCTAAAATGTACTCTGCGAGGCAGAGTTCAGTGGTCTGTAGGTTGTAAACCCCCCTACAAGTCCCTCCTCTAAGTACAAATAATCCTCCAAAACCCCCTCCTAGCACAAATCTTCCCAAATCCCCAGTCCTAGCACAACCCTTCCAAAAAGCCTCCTCCTAGTACCATCCCCCCCCCAAAATCACCATTGCCAGCAAAACCCCCTCCTAGCAAAACCCCCCCAATTCCCCATGGCACAACCCTTCGAAATCATGCCTACTAGCACAACCCCCCACCCAAATCACCCTCCCAGCACAACCACTCAAAAATCCCACCTCGTAGGACACTCCCCCGCCTAACACGACTCCCCCCCCCCCCCCAAGCTGCTCTCTCTCCTTTCTGTACATTTGGAATGATCGATCCTCTTAACTCCTTGGCTACAGGAAGAAAATAAACACGGTTAACGCCTGCACATGCAGGAGTTAAAGCAGAGCTCCCCAACCCCTTCTCAGTTCTTTTTGTACTCTTGCCAGCAAGTCCTTCTCAATCAAGGACATCGCTTTATAGGATGCAGTCGGACACCCAGCTCAGCTTTCAGTTTTGCCAGCAAGAGTACAGAGAGGAGCAAAGATCGGGGGAAGGTACAGGCTTACCTCTCTGCCTTCTCTATACACAGGACCTCAATAGAGCTCTCCCCCCTCCTGTAGAACAGGAACTAGCAAAGGATCACTCAGCTCGGGCTGTTGCCGCAGCACCCCTGAGGACTCCTCGCAGCACCACCCGGTTGAGAAACACTGGTTTAGACTAAAGGACAACTGTGCAGGATAGCTGAAAAATTTTAAAAGACTTCCCATAGCTATAGGGAGATTAAAAGAAAAAAAAACAAACAAACCATAAAGCCATAAAAACAGCAGAGCTGAGAAAAGTCATCAATCACTCTAGGTCACTAGCAAACTAAGGCTTGGTGGTAAGTAGGAAGAATTACACCCTGGGCTACCATACAGTCTGTTTGCCAGTGTCCAATCCTCCTGCTGGTGGCAGAATATCCCAGAGCTTGAAGACCGTGTCCCTCAAAACACAAAAAGGATTTTTTTTTTTTTTTTTTAAATAGCGCCTCACCTTTCAAAGCCAAAAGGAGACCATTCTTACCTGCATGCATTGGAACAGAAGAGTCATGATGTTGCTTCTTGCCACTAACTGCTCAACGTGGGCCACCAAGCCCCTCTGCCAGCCCACTAAGGAGGTCCAAGGCTACTATCATGAAATCCTTATCGGGAGCTTCATATTGATCCGGGTGCTGACTGTACATCTGTCAGAGACACAGGAGACAACACCCATTAGATACGTAGGGCACAGAGTTGAAAACTTATGAAAATCAGCTTTAAGAACACTCACCATGGCTTGGGCCAGCGTCTTCTGCACCAGAGTAACACATCTCTGATACACAGGCTCACAGTATGGTAGGAACCCACTCTGCAGTGCCGTAGCAATGGAGGACAAGCACTAGAATTTAAAATATATATATATATATTTCACAAAAAGACAACCACAGATATTTCAAAGAAGAATTAAGCAAACTACAACTTTGAGGTCAGATAGTATGAATACAAACTCCCAACATGAGGAATTCAGACTTCTGGTTTCACATCAATCCCCAGTAAAAGCTCGAGCCAGCAACCACCCATTGTCATCAATATAAATTAAAAAAAACTTTCACCTCTAGAAGTGGGAAGAGGTCCTTATCTTCATCTTTCAACTCATTCCATTTCTGGATTAGAGGGGGCATCAGCTTTTGGATGTACTCCTGTAATAGAAGACAAATCATAGTTGTAAACATATGAAATACTAGTCTTGGTTCAGAATAGAAATGAAAATAAATAGGAGAAAGGAATGAACCAGTGGGTTTGGGGTTTCTAACTGCTGAGCACACAAAGTAAATGTTACTAACAAAAAATTATAAACATTAAAAACAATCCAATGATTGGCTTGGGTGAACACAAGTATTATTCATTGTCCACATGACCTCTGAAGATCTTTCATTTGGTCAATCTGGTAAATTTACGTATGGGTTTGTGTGGCTTCCTCCAATACACCACCACTGGTACTGAAATTGGCTGCTCTGGTTTGTGGAGAATGGATTGTGTCCTTGGTCTGGTGTAAACTCCACTTCAAGTTCATACACAAGGCTTTTTAACTTCCTGCAGCCAAACAGAGCAACCAGAGGACACCAAAGAAGGTATAAATCAAAAGGTATGGCCATTATTAAGGTGAACCTGTTGGGCTTTAGAAAACTAAAAACATTTACATGACATGAAACAGA